CACACACACACACACACACACACACACACACACACACACACACACACACACACACACACACACATTTTTTTGCACAATTTTATAGCAATTAAAAAAAGATACTTTTGTCAAGGGTATAAATTTGCAATAATGTCTCTATTCATTTCAGAGCTCACAAATTGAGTGTCATTTCTGCATGGAAGGGCTTGGTGGTCCATTAAGTACCTGTTCTCACCCCTAGAGGGAACTCCAACTCAGTTAGTGACCACAAAGAATAGCAAGCACCGACATGGATAGCTTTGGCATTTGCGTGTCAATCCGCATGCTAAAGCCCTTGGCAAAGATTCACTTCACTCAGGTCACAGTGGCAGTTATCAAATAAAACTCTTTTGCGAAACTTATTATATTATTAATAATCATACAGTTATATCTTGACTTGTCTGCACCTGACATGTGTTCTAGGGCAAGCAAGAAGAGTTGCATATTTCATGGAAACCACAGCAATGACATTTTCTCCAGGCAGACAACTGTGCCATCACAGATATAAGCAAAAAAGAGAGACAATAACAGTCAGCTGGTATAATTAATTCACACAGCTGCAAGCAGCTACTAATAGTCAATATTTTATAACTGTTTTTGCTGTCAGCCTCAACAGTGGAAAGACCACAGCACGTGTTGCTCCAATCTGCCACCATTCTTTTTTCCCCCCACCGTGATAGAAAACAGGTACAGTACACCAATCTTGGCTGATCCTAAATAATACCGTAGTCTTTCCAAGCTCTTGAATACAGCCATCCATCCATTTCCTATGACACTTAATCTGTTCGGTGCCTTAGGGAACCTGAAGTATATTCCAGCTGAGACATGGGGTTAACACTGGACTGATCACCTGTCAATCACAGAACTGAAGCTTAGAGACAGGCAGCCGTTATTCATACCTATATACAAGTGCGAGTCCTCAATGGACCAAACATATTTTTGGACCGTCTGAGGATGCTGGTGTATTCCACACAACCCACATAAGCACAGGGAGAACAAGCACCCCCCCCCCCAGTCAAACAAAATTAGTACCGTCAATCATTTTAAAGAGCATCCCTGCCCATTTTTCTGGGTTATGTTTTGTGTCATGTCATAACCTGGACCCCATGTTGGCCTTGAGTGCTAGTTGGCAGATTGGTTGAAGCCGTGCCACTTTGTAAAAAGTGCATTTCTTCAGTAAATTGAGTTCAAGTGTCAGCATTACTCGGATGCTGCTGTTCATGTTGCTTGAAACAACATGACAAGGATGCAGCTGTAACTGCTGCTGCTTTTACACGCCAACTCAGGACAACAAACCTGCAGGTATTAAAAAAAAAAAAAGAACTTGAACTGTCAAATTAATTTCAGTATTTTTTAAAAAAACTGTCTTTCGGTTCAAAGCTTACATTAATGATGGAAAAAGTACTGCAATGATTGATCTTGGTGATTTTTTTAAATCACAAAAACAGGGGTGGGTGGACTTTTTTTAATATCTACGACAAGACTCGCGATAACCTTTTTTTTTCTTTGCAGAGTAGTTTTTCTAATCAATGATTTAATTTGAAAAGTAACTTACTAATTATGAGTCACAATTTTGCAGGTTAATTGTAGAGACCCGGAGCAAGGGTTTTACGAAACAACAAAGATACGAATGAACAATTGTTTAGATTTTGTTATTTGTTGATTTGCCCGTACGGCCGGTCTATTTGCGGGTCTGTCGAACCACGTGACGGCCGGCCCCGTCGCCGATTAGCATTTCAGTCACAACACTTCCTTGATAGCTATCATCTGTTCATCACTCCATCCATCCGTCTGTTGTTTGTCCTTTGAGAGGCTTTATACATGCATTTATCCATCCATCCATTTTCTATTCCACTTATGCTCATGGTCGAGGAGTCGGGTACACTGTGCACTGGTCGCCAGTCAATCGCAGAGGCGCCATCAAAATTGTTCGAATTTGAATGACATTATTCAAGTCAAATCAGCTTTATTGTCAATTATGCGCTATGTGCAACATACAGCATAGATGAAATTTCTTTCCTCTCAACCACAGGAGAGAGAAGATACTCATTGATGGAAATTCTCACCATTTTGTCTTTTTTTTTTTCTTATAAGCTGAATTGAACCTCAGTTTGTACATCACATCACAAAACGAGCAATTTGTTTTAATCTCATGGTCATTTCTCATATTGTGGTTTTCAACTTTCTCACTGGGACCCGGACTTTCCAATTGTGGCTTGGTCATCTTGTTTTTGTACATGCTATATTTATTTCAGAATGTATGCAAACAAAAAGGCACCAGGAGATTGTCATGTGGTAGAACATGGCTTGAACCTGAAAATGAACTTATGTTTCAGGTTGCGCTGCCACATAAACCCAGAAGTTTTTTTTTCTTGAAAAACCAAAACAAAACAAAAAACCCCAAAAAAACAATATGTTACAAAATTAGCTACAGTGGAAATTCAAACCGTTAACATCATCACTGAAGTTGTAAGCAGTAGTTAACATCATCACTGAAGTTGTAAACAGTTGTACAGCTACAAAGAGCAAAGCAAGGAGTCTTTCACTTCAAAAGGGACTTACTGTAAATCAAACCTCCAAATCATAATGGCTGGGGGGGGGGGGCAGCACGGTGGTCGAATGGTTTGCATGTCCGTCTCACAATGCAGAGGTCCAGTGTTCGAATACGAGCTCCAGCCTTCCTGTGTGAAGTTTACATGTTCTCCTCGTGCCTGCATGGGTTTTCTCTGAGTATTCTGGTTTCCTCCCACATTCCCAAAACATGAATGGTAAGTTAATGGGGCACTGTAGATCGTCCCCTAGGTGTGATTGTGAGTGTGAATGGTTCTTGTATATGACTATGTGTACACTGTGATGGGCTGGCAACCAGTTTGGGGTGTACCCCGCCGACTGCCCGAAGACGGCTGCGATAGCCTCCAGCACGCCCGTGACCCTCGTAAGGATAAGTGGCTCGGAGAAGGGATGAATGGATGATGGCTAGGGTGCTCGCTTGCTAATGTCAGCGCTAATTTAAGCAGTGCTAGTGCATTCAGTTCATTTCACTGTCAAATGAGCATAGGTACCATTACTCCGCGACACAGAAAAAAGATTTCATAAGCAATGATTGCCTTGTTAGTGTAGGTGTTCAAAGGAATGTATTGCAGAGTGATGATGTAAGAAGAGAGAGGGTGGATATATATTGTGTAGTGTAAATTAAACTGGGGCCATACATTCTCACTCCCCAAAAGTAGTACGAGTCCTGGAGTTTTTTTTCTTCTTTAACGAAGAATGTTTTGGAACCCATACACTTTAGCAACAGTAAATAACAGGAAAATATATTCAAAAATGCCTTCAACTGTAGCGAACATAATGTAACTCATAACAGCATCAGTCTCCAAAAGAGGCGGTCGGTCACAGTATGCTAGCCTTGAGGCTACATCTATACATTAGAATTAGTTAGCCAGTAACTCAGCAATGATGTTAACTGTTTGAATTTCCACTAGAGCTATTTTTGTAAATTGTATTTTTTTTTTTTAATGTAAATTACGGCTGCTGTTGGGTCTCCCTTTCAAGTTTGCGTGTCTTCACCTAAGTGACATTAAACACATTCAAAAGATGACGGCAGTGAAGAAGTCTTACCATACCACCCCACAAGAAGCATATCATTAATTTAATCGTTTTACTC